ACACATACATGGTTAGATGCAGAATGAACAAGAGAACATTTATAGCCACCCGACAGACCTTAGAGTTGCTCTCAGAAAAAACTAGGTCGAATTTACTGTAACCAAAGTACTGCTCTTCTTTGTTCAATGATGACGATCTTGTGCTCCACACTTGTCCACTAGCCGCCATGATACATATTCCATTCGATAGAGAATTTCTTGCGCTACAATTTAATATATACAAAGTAGTGAGAAAAGCGTCCTAGGGCATCTTGACATCAGAAATACTTTATGCAAAGACGTAGCAAGTGGGTGATTTATTCAACGATGACGATCCTCTGCTCCACACTTGTCCACTAACCACGACGATACATATACCCATCGATCGAGAATTTCTTGCGCTAAAATTTCATATATACAAAGTAGTGAGAAGAGTGTCCTGGGACCCTTGACATTAGAAATACTGTCCGAAAAGCCGTGAAAAGTGGGTGGCTTATTCGATGGTGACGATCCTCTGCTTCACACTTGTCCAGTAACCACGACGATACATGTACCATTCGATAGAGAACTGCACGAGCTTCAAAATGAGCGATAAACAAGTCTTTCAGAAATATGCCCACATGGGTCAATAGTTGAAATACTTGTCCGATATAATGATTTTGACCTATTTTAGTGCTTTCAACACTCCGTTGGTGGTTTTGCTGCCACAATGTAAATTATGCATTGTTCGAAAACATACCACTGGATAGTCCTTGAAATTCTCTACAAAGTGAGCTGGTCACAATATCCAGACTGGTGAGACCTGTCATTAAAGATATTGAAAAGAAACTTTTGGGTGTTATCTAAGCAGTACCGTGTGTCATAATCACAAGAACTGCCTTGTTTTTGACCTTTTAGTGATAGCTTGAACGAATCTGAATAATGTTTTGAATAGCCCGAGGATTTTTCTCTAGTCCTTAGTTTTCAGCGAGAAAATTTTGCAAACCATATATCTTGGTAGAGCGAAAAATTCTGAGCAAAATAAGACTTCCTCCGGCATTCTATAGCGCTTTTCCACGCAACTGCAGTCGATTTACCACTACCCACAAGCCTGTTTAGATAACACCCAAAAGTTTCTTATCAATATCGTTAATGACAGGCCCAATCTGTCTGGATATTGTGACCAGCTCACTTTGTAGAGAATTTCAAGGGCTATCCAGTGGTATGTTTTCGAACAATGCATAATTTACATTGTGGCAGCAAAACCACCAACGGAGTGTTGAAAGCAAAATAGGTCAAAATCATTATATCGGACAAGTATTTCAACTATTGACCCATGTGGGTATATTTTTGAAAGACTTGTTTATCGCTCATTTTGAAGCTCGTGCAGTTCTCTATCGAATGGTATATGTATCGTCGTGGTTAGTGCACAAGTGTGAAGCAGAGGATGGTCACCATGGAATAAGCCACACAGTGGGCAACCAAGCGGACATTAGACGAAAACGTCGATTCTGTTATTTACCAAATATAAATACTGCAAAACATAGCCCTTCCAATTCTCTATCGAATGGTGTATAAATGTCTATTTTGATGTCCACTCCTTCAAGACGAAAAAAGCGCATGAAGGTTGTATGACGAATATGTAAAAAAGTGACATCTACGAACAAAATCTTAATTTCCTCTTCAGACAATCATGTTAAATTATTTTAAAGTGCATAGTCGGAATCGCCAAGTCGAGAGCTATCTATTGACAATAACGTTTGATCTTTTGAACATTTAACCAGTGAAAAACAGCATACGGATTTCTCAGAATGGCATTTCCGTTAAGACTACCTCACTATAGTCTTAACGCCCCGGTTAGCCCCACCGGAAAATAACATCTAACTATGTCAACATGCTCCTCAGCCAATACTCTGCTTATACTGATCTCACAAAATCTCACATATTTTTGAAGGCCGAGTAATGGATTTTTCAAAACCCCGACGGATTTTACGGTATTTCGAGGTTTTTCTGATCACGAAAGCACTTTTATTCAAAAATAATATCATATTCAGAATCAGCGTGAAACACTGCATTGAACGGTGTATAACTCATCTAGTTTCGGTCGCTTGATTTTGAATTCTAGAAATTTCTTAATTTTTTGAGATTCACACAAACAGTTTCGTGCTGAAAATTTGAATTTCAAGATAAAGTAACCTGAACGACTCGAAACACGTTTCTTATACGTTTCCGACAATGCTCTTTCCAGTGGCATTGTTTTTAAATCTTGAGAAAGTTTTCTGAAGGGTTTTTCAGAGACCTGATCTCTGGAAAGCTCCTTAGAAAACTTTTTCAAAACCCAACTCTCATGCCATTAGAAAGAGGATCATGGAAAACCTATAAAAAAATGGTTCATGAAGTCTAGTTCACTCATAAAGCTAAAGTCCGCCTGCTCTAGCAAAAAATGTGAGCCACCCACTTTTCACGGCTTTCCAGACAGTATTTCTGATGTCAAGGGTCCCAGGACACTTTTTTCACTATCATATATATTTGATCTTGTAGTACGAGAAATTCTCTGTCGATTGATATATGTATCGTCGTGGTTAGTGTATATTAGGTGACAAACATAGACCAAGTTTACTGCGTTAAAATACACTAGCGAATGGTCGTTGAAATTTCTTGATCCAGTTGCTTTATGACATGTCTATAGACAACGAAATCCACATAAACGTCGCTAGAGTTCCACACTGTGACCTCTTTTCGTTGTCGTGGAAGAAAGCTTATCTTATGTACTATATTTCAAAACTCGTTGCATTTCTCTTTTTTTTAAACTCGANTAAACATAAATTCACTAGACTGGTCTGTTCACGTTCGTTATATATTAAAAAATGTAACTATACACTTTATCTTATGCGCAGGCATAGACATGTACAGAAGTACGCGATAAAAGTGCAATACTGAGCAAAAGTCGACCTCTATCCTTCGAAACTATGAGATAAACTAGACTTAGGAAGATTTCGTACGAAAAATGACCGCCTTATAGTTTTCCAATCGAATAAAGAAATGTAACAGGCTTGCACTCACTGGTAGATTTTTCGCACGATTTGGAAATCTTCTCTTTGATCCTGTAATGTGCTAACTCTTTTGAATAGATCAAAGACGAGCGACATGGGAAACGCCGAAAGTAGTCCGGTGCCAGAAGTACAGCTTCGCCGTCCTCAACAAGGTGAAGCAAGTGAATTTTATTGGGCCTGTAGAAATGGAGATGTGGAGCGTGTTAAACAACTTCTATTGACAACTCCCTGGAGAGATTTAAATCGACTTGAACCAAATGGTAGTACACCCCTTCACGCAGCTTCATTCTACGGACACAGCCAAATTGTCGGTCTTCTTCTACGCGAACATGGCTGTCGAAGAGAGTGCCTAAATCATCACGGGCTCACTGCCTATGAAGAAGCACAGAGTGAAGAAATACGTCAACTATTTCATCGTCCGTCAGAAAAAAATCGATTTTGTGACGCGTGCGATGATGCAGGAAATATATTCAAAGTGACAACGAGAGCGGAAATGAAAGAAGAGGACGTTGCCACCGCCGACGAGGACTTTTCCGACGATCAATGGCTCGTGGGTTATGAAACGTCAGAACAAATTGAACATGTTAAAGCAGACTGTTCTGCTGGAAAAGCTATTGTTCAATCGAAATTACTTGTGTCGATGTTTGGAAAAGAAGTATTCCGCAGAGAATTTACGGATAATCTCAATAAACTTCTGACCGAACATGTTCCTCAAACACATCGAGAATTTGAAAAGTGCAAGACACTAATTGAAAAAGCTCTCGATCAACAACAAGACCAGCCTGAATATTTACTTCGTCTGTACACACTTGAAACACCACTTTATGGCATATTAGGCAATGATGCCCGTCCACTCTTTCACCCGCTCTTGTTTACATTGAATAAACTGAAACCACGTCATTTCCAAGGTGTTTCGTATCGCGGCGTAAAAATGGCAGAAGAAGGTCTGCGCGCTTATCGTTGGGCAATAAAAAGTAAAGGCGTTATCGAAACACGAACATTTTGCTCAACAACTTTAGATCGTTCTGTAGCTGAGGGATTCGCTGGAATTGGTCCAATCACCAATGATCGGCGAAGTGTTCTCATGGTTTTTAATTTTCCCGAAAACTGTGACACGGCGATTAATTTAGGGAAAATTTCACAAGACCTACCGTGTACTTCAGAGTATGAAAATGAAGCAGAAGTTTTGATGCTTCCGACGACGCTGTTTGTCGTGAGACAGATTGAGTCAGCTACAAACTACATAACTATTCACCTTGAAAATATTTCGTCTAAACCAAAATCTCGATTGTCGTATTTAAAAGCGGCATGTAAAAACATGAAAAGAAACGCATATGTGAAAGTCGGCACAAAAACGTATATATTAGGTGACAAACATAGACCAAGTTTACTGCGTTAAAATACACTAGCGAATGGTCGTTGAAATTTCTTGATCCAGTTGCTTTATGACATGTCTATAGACAACGAAATCCACATAAACGTCGCTAGAGTTCCACACTGTGACCTCTTTTCGTTGTCGTGGAAGAAAGCTTATCTTATGTACTATATTTCAAAACTCGTTGCATTTCTCTTTTTTTTAAACTCGAATTTTGAAAGATTTTATCTTGGAACTAAAAGTGAAGGAGAAAATGATTTTTTAGTAAGTAAAAAAGGCGCTCTTGCAATCGATTTTTCAAAATCAGTCAGAAAGAAAGCAAAACAAGAATCTGGTAGTTCCGGCCCTGTCTAGCTCGCACGTTGCTTTGAGAGGAAAGTGAAGAGTGGATAGGAGATAAAGATGTCTTGAAGTTCAAGAAACAACCATCATTTGAAAACATAATCCTCGTCTTCATTATTTATTGTTCTGTGTGCAGGATTATGTTTTCAAATGATGATACTGTTCTTCTTTCGTTTTTCCCTATTACTCATTACAAAAAAATAGTCTTTACGCTTCATTTCATCTAACTGATTACAGGTGAGCCACGCACAGCTACCTATTCATCATGGGAAGAGTTGCTGTCGTCAAAGCTTAAAAAGGAGTCATTATAGTAGGAGTCATGTATTACAGTAATAATGAGATTTTAAGCGCAACGAGCATCATGAGCTCGAATTTAGAAAGTATAAATAATTGGTCTAAGTTTTGGCAACTGTCCTTAAATTCAAAAAAATGTGCAGCAATGTTATTTGGTAAAACCACAAGTATTCCTTCTCTGTTTCGCTTTGTTGCTAAAGATAAACATAAATTCACTAGACTGGTCTGTTCACGTTCGTTATATATTAAAAAATGTAACTATACACTTTATCTTATGCGCAGGCATAGACATGTACAGAAGTACGCGATAAAAGTGCAATACTGAGCAGTGACGTATTCAGAAATTTTTAACTAGTAGGCAATTCTTCAGCCAAATTATTTTGAGAGGTGGGCAGCAATGGACAATTGAAAAATCTATTGGGCAATAATGTTTAAAAACTTATTGACATTATAAAAGCCGATGGTTACGGAAGAGAAATTCGTCAACCTCAACTAACAGAACAGGGGAATAAATTTTGGACTGGTGGGTAATTGCCCAATTGCCCACTATCTGGATACGCCACTGGATCTGATTGCGGTATTGAACAAGCAAAACTGGAAAATTAATATGAATCATCCCGCTACCCAGTCTCTTATTTTGCTTCTGAAATTTAATTTACTTGAGAATCGCATGCAGATAGTTAAACCTATGGCTGTTGCAATAACTGAGACATGGTTAACATCTAAGTGTATCATTTCGAATGTGATGGTTAACGTGTATCAAGTTTTCAGGAAAGGTCGTGTGAATAAAACATGTGGGGGTTTACTTTTATATGTCAGGAATGATATTATCGTCAAAAGATTCTTAAATTATGGGTATACAAAATTTGAAACATTATGTGTGACTCTTCGTATGCCTAATGGTAAAACTTGTTTTGTAGGTCTAGGTTATAGACCTGACTGGGTTGACTATTTGGAGTTTACTAATCACTTACCAGAAACTTTAAACAAAATACGGATCAATACAAAAATGTATGACTCCATGATTTTTGTCGGTGACTTTAATAGTCATTGCAATAAATGGTGCCCAAGTAAGCCTTCAACATCAGAACGGGATGTCTTTTCTGACTTTGCTATGACTGAGGGCTCAACTCAGTTCGTTAATAAACCAACTCGTGAAAAGTCCCAGTCTTGTCTTGATTTAGTTCTTAGTACTAACCAACGCTCTGTTACTGATGTTTTAGTGGAAAGTCCACTTTGTTCAACTTGTGACCACTCTGTGGTTTCTTCTAATCTCTTTTCACAGAAACTAAGTCATTATACATACACCCAGCACATTTTTGATTATAAAAACACCAACTGGGATGCTTATAGTTTGGAGTTAAGCAAACCTGACTGGTCTCAATTAATAAACCAGTAACTAACCCTCGACGACGAAGTAAAAATTTGGTATGAAAACTTCCTAGCAATTTCTAATCGAATTATCACAAATAAGACTATTATAATCTCCTCATGAGATGCTCCTTGGTTCACGGACAAATTGCGGCAACTATATATTAAAAAGCAAAAACTCTTCCGTCGTCGTGAACGCTCTGCCTGTGATGATTTGGCATATAAAATGCTAGCTAAACGTTATGAAGAAGAATGCTTCTTAGCGAAGGGTAAGTACTATTCCCAAATTGATGAGAAAGTAAATCATTCTTCGAAGAGTTGGTGGTCAGTAGTTAAAAATGCTCTCAACAAACGCAAACAGTCTTCTATTCCAAGCATTGTGAATAAATCCATTACACAAGTCTGAGGATACCACTTAGTCAATAATTATTGTCCAATCACTCTGCTGTCCACTATATCCAAAGTATTTGAGCGTCTCGTCTTCAACAGAATTTTAAAATTCTTGTCCTCACATAAACTAATTAGTAAAAACCAGTCTGGTCATTTACCTCGGCATTCCACAACTGCTCAACTAGTTGAAATAGTTCATCGTATTGCCAAGGGCTTTACCAAGAATGAACCGACCATGGCTGCATTTATTGATTTTTCAAAAGCCTTTGACAAGGTAAACCACTAAGGACTTCTGTGAATTTGGTAGTGATCCATAAATGGTCGTGTGACTGGCTCTTACCTATTAATTTTAGTAAATGTTTTCATATGTTTTTTGCTAATCGGCATAAGCATGATATTCCTCCACTGTTTATTGGCGGCACTAGGCTGAAATTGGTACACTTCCACACATACCTTAGGCTCGTTCTTACGTCAGACCTGGATTGGACTTCCCACACTGACCTGATCGTAGCCAAGTGCTCCAAAATAATTGGATCAATGAAATTACTTAGCCGAATAGCTTCTTGTCAAGCTCTTGCTCTAGTTTACAACTCATTCGCTCTCTCAATTTTGCTCTATGCCTCTGTTATATACTCGGGAACATCAGACAAGAACTTAGCTCGGTTAAGTATGCTTAAATACCAGTCAGCTTTTGTGATTACTGGAGCTATGAAGGGTGCATCTAAGGAGAAAGTCTTAGCTGACTTAGGATGGCTACCGAACCAAACTATCTTTCAACGACAAAGACTACATTTTCTTCATAGGGTTATTTGTGGTCTGAGCAAACATTTCTGAAGAAAATGAGACGTCTTCGAGCTCTTTATGACATTCCCATACCAGCAAAACTGACTGGAAATACCTTCCGTAAACTGAATGCTGTTTGAAGAAAAAATGTCATAAACAGCTCGGAGACGTCTCATTTTCTTCAGAAATGTTTGCTCTACACGAAAGACGTATTCGTAAAGAATTTCTGAATTGAACTCGGGCACTTCGTTGTCTAAGATTTGGGTTTTCCAGAGATCCTGATTTCAAGAGTTTTGATGGAACCATTTTATACAGCACTTCCGATCGGAAATTCTCTCAGCTATTCAAATCTTTTTTCAGATTTGTTCTAGCTGTTATCATCGATGAGGAAAGTCAAAAATAAAGGTGGTGAACAATTTTGGATCCACTGCAGGCTTAAGCGGTACAGTATTTAAAACCCCCAAATCGCTGCCAAGCTTGATTAAGTCTCCTGTTAACACATATTGAAGAGCGTTTTGGGGCGCATCGAATTATGTATGAATGAGTAGAAATCCTCTTTAGTCTGATAGAAAAAAGTGAAACAAAAGTTTCCTTGGCATAGCCACGATCTATGGAAAATTCTAGTATTAAACTCATAAAACTTGGTGTCAGGCTTCGTTAAGGTTCCTATAGAGGGTTCTTATAGTGGTTCTTATAGAGCGTTTCAAGACGCATCGAATGGTGTGTGAATGATTAGGGATCACCTTTAGTTTTATAGAGAAAAGTGCCCGATAGTTCGAGTAGCATAGTGTATCAACAGAAACTTTAACGAAGTCTGGCAGCGGCCGCCGTGAATCAAATACTAGTTTTTTTCCTTAGGTTCCCGCTATGTTTCCGCAACTGACGGTCTCTTTTTCCTGTGAAACTAAAGATGATCCCTAATTATTTATGCACCATTCGATGCGTCTTGAATAGCTCTGCAATATGTGTTCATAGCAAACTTAACGATGCTTGGCAGCAGTCATTGTGAACCAAATACTAGTTTTTTTCCAGGTCGCCGCTATGTCTCCCCAACTGTCAGTCACTTTTCTCCATGAAAATAAAGATGATCCCTAATCATGCATACACCATTAAAATCCCACCGCGGCCCATGACAGTACACTTGGTGTACCCCAGCAATACCGTAGGGCGCAAGGAATTTGTCCGACTTTCCGATAGAAAATCTTTCACCAGAACACAAGTTTTCAACGCTGACTAGAAAATCAGTTTGAAAAAAGTCTTCTGATGTTCAAGTTTGAATATGAAAACATACTTCCAGGTCTTCTCTTTCAAATGGCGAAACCGAACTTCTCTAGCTCTTTTTTTGTATCAAAAGTTACTCAAAAAGCAACCAAGTCACGGTGTTGTATCTCACCGATAACAGAAAAATGTTTTTCAATTCTGCAAAACAAAGTAGTAATAGTTTGCGAACCTACGTTTTGTGATACTCCTAGACATATACTATCGATATGTGATAAGAAAAACCTTTTGTTTGGCTCAATTTTTTTCGCAAAAACAGTACTATTTTTATCAGAATCACTCATATACAAGCCTTGTACAGTGTATATAAGAAGTATTCAGACACTATAAGGAGCTTCTTGTACGAGCGCGTTTTAAATGAATTTCGTAGTGGCATCCGTAGTTTTCAATTCTATGAGTAGGTATGCAACGGTTACAGTTAATCGTAACCGTAAATAACCGCTTTATAACAATTTAGTGTATATTTGATTTTTAGTTCGTTGCTATCAGTTTACATTAGAAGTAGACAAGGATGGTCTTTGTCCTGATGTTATAGTGCATCTATTAATGAATTTATGAAAATTCTA